ATAAATATAGTGTTAGGACAGGCCAGGAATCCAATGCTCTGTTTGTTCAGTTGAGGGATAATATACATTGCATTGTCTGGGATAATGCCTCCTCAATATTACCATGTAATTCAATTGACAGTAGGAACATTATAGAATCTAGTCTCATTAAACATACCGAAGCATTCAACATGAATTTGAGTAATGGCATGTACAAACTGGACAATTTTGTAATTAAGAAGATTTGTAACCAGGTGAGAAGGTTGGGTCACCTTACCCTCTGACCTGACTACCGACCGTTGCCGTGCTATTTAAAGATTAGTAGGGTCATTACCCAATACCTGACCATTGTGGACCTGATCTCACCCTCCTCTCTATATATACACCTTGTTTTGTACTCCTCTTTAGTCTGTACTCACCCCTGAAGATCTGAATTACACGAAAGCGCTTGGGAACTTCGTGTTTTCTTCTTTCCTTGTGGTTATCAGCATATATATATATATGTATATATATATATATATATATATATATATATATATATATATATATATATATATATATATATATATATATATATATATATGTAATATTCAGAAATTTCAGAGTAATTTCAAATGCCCCGCCATGAGTGATACTGAGCGTTCAAGGTCATCTGAGGGGAGGGAGCGCTGCCTGCTCGTAGCGAGAGACTGCGGAACTAGGCCTATATGATATTAAATGTGATTTACCGAATTAATAATGATGCGATTCATGAAGTTAAGGGACTATTATTGAATTTGAAATTATTATAGATCGTTTAGCAGTCTGAATAATGTTACGGGTGTCCCAAGGAGTTATTAGTTAGGCGGAAAATATATCACGTAGGACCAAGCTAGCGCCTTGGGGAGACGCGATGCTGGCTAGGCCAGTTCCGGAGAGCATTCACACAGACAAGACGTTCCGCGCGTCCATCAGAAATAGTCACGTGGCCTAGTCACCTGTGCTGCGCTATTGCAGTATAACAAGTGTGTCTCATTCATCCCAGTCACAGACGCTATCCTTCCACGGGTCACGGACAGTTCATTTTGTGTAGTAGATTTAAGTGTTCTTGT